GTCCCCCTCCTTTAGGAATTGCCTTTGCACAGGTGACTCCCCCATCCTCTTTGCCCACATTCTAAATTCTAAAGAAAAGCTGTGCCTAAGTTACTAAGATGTTCATTGCTAAGTAATCTTTCTTTACATTTACAGAACCCAGAACATCTGGTGATATCAGAATGTGAAACACTCCTTATTCTAGTCCTGTGCATCAACTATCACAAAGCCCATAAACTGCCCTGATGTTCAATTTGCAGCAAAGTCATACATTTGTAACTAGCCCCATGAGGTCAAGGTTGATTGTGACATTCTGGCATGTGCAGGGGACACACCATGGCTGGGCTGGATGATGAAGACCTGCTCAGCACACAGCCTTCTGCCCGCTCTGCCTTTCCCTATGTGTAGAAGTGTTTTCATGGACTTGAGTTCCTAAGATGGAGTTTTGAGATGATAGCCCCTCCACCTTCTCAGGGCTGGTCCTTGAATAATTTCTTTCCCACCAACTCTCTTCTCTCAAGTATTAGCTTTCATGTGGCAAGAAAACAGATTGTGTCTGGCAACACTCCTGGTGTCAGGAACTGTGATTTCGAAACATGTATTTGGTCTTGGTACATAGCTCCTAAAATCCTTGGGATCTCTTAAGCAATACTAAGGAGAAAGGGCTGATCACTAGCCCAACCAACACCAAGTGAGAGGGCTGGGACTTTCATCCCCACACAAGCCTCCAGGGAGAGGAGTGGTACTGAAGGTGAAGTTCATCACTGGTGGCTATGATTTGATAATAATGCCCCTGTAACAAATCCCCCATAAGCATCAGAAAGACAGGGTTTGGAGAGCTGGAAGTGTGTAGGTTCCTGGAGGGTGGTGCTCCAGGACAGGGCAGGGAAGGTCACTCTCTTTCCCCTTGCCTCACCCTAGCTGTTCATCTGTATCATTTGTGATGTATTTCACAAGAAGCCAGTAAATGTGAGCAAGCACTGGCTCGCTCACACTGGGAGGCACTCTAACAAACTAAACATGGGGAGGGTGGGGTCCCTGATTTATAGCTGCTTGGTCAGATATACTGATGGCACACCTGGGGATGGCAATTGGCATCTGGGGGGTGCGGGCAGTCTGGAGCATGGAGCCCCCACCTCCAGAGAGATGGTGTCAGAGCAGAACTGTGTTAAGAGGACTCCTGGATGGTGCTGGAGGCTAAGTGTGTGGATAAATCACCCCCACTGGATTTCAGATTCATGCTGTGAGAGTACCCAGTAGGAAAAACTGGGTTTGTTTCTTCCTACATCTTCTGAGCATCCGAGGAAAGAGAAATGGAGATTTCTTTTTGACTGACATTTTATATTTAAGTGTGTTAAGTTTTAAATGTAATAGGAGATCCCTGGCATGAGTTTTCTGTTTTAATTCTGAGAATTCTCTTGGGGATCTTTCAACACAGGCACAGTAGAAATCCACTGGTTAGTAGGTAGAGGACCAGGTATTCGGGAGCCCATGTCACTCAACACAATTCACTTTTCTGCATCTCTCTCACCACACCTGCCATGTAGAGGTAACACTCCCTGTTCTATGTATTCCCCAGAATCATGGGAAGGGAGCAAACTATTTTAAAATATTTAAAAAACAGCAAAGTGCTCTAAATTCCAAGTATTGTCATATCATGTGCATTTAGAGTGCTCTACACAGAAATTTCAATCAGCCACAGGTAAGCCATGCGTCTGCTTTCTAGGTGCCATTCCTCACTGTCGGTGAAAGGATCATGGGATAAGGATCATGGGTAGGCTAGATAATGACCCTCCCCAAACATATTCTGTCTCAAGATGTCTTGCTAGTCCCAGAACCTGTCAACATGGTGTGTTACATAGCTAAGGACACTGAAGATGTGATTAAGTTAAAGACATAATTGTGATGGGGAGACTACACTGCATTTTTCAGGAGGTCTTATACTAGGGAGCAGGCATGGGAGAGTGTTCAGGAGGGAGTTGTAACAATTGTGGGAGGGAAGAGAAAAAGAGGGGAGGAGGATTGATGTTGCTATACTGATGGTTCTGAAGTCCTAGGAAAGGCCCAATAGCTGAGGAAGGCAAGAGACCTCTAGAAGTTGGGAAGGCCTGACACCTCTACAGAGGCTGCCATTCATACACAGGGAACACACCCAGGCTGACAGCTTGATTTTAACCTTTAACCTCAAAGTCTATAAAATGGTAACCGCCTATGGTTTTAAGTCACTAAACTTTTGGTAAATAGGAAACTAATATTATCATGCAAACACAGTCATCTATCATCCCTCCACTCAAAGTCATGCTTCTTTATAGAGTGTATCTCTGACCAGTTTCTGAGTTGGTTACCCAGAGGTTTTGCACCCAGACTAAAGTCATCATGACCCCTCCACTGGCCAGATAACTGAACACCACTGTTTCAGAGGGGCCAGCTGATGACATGGTCTTCAGTGTACACACCTGAATCCTCCTACATCTAACAAGCTTTTCCTTAAATTCTCTGGGAAGTGGACTATGTCTTCTACTTCTACTAGTAGAAATATTCCAAAATACTTAGAAAAATAAGTTGTCTATGGGCTACAAGTCTTTCACCTACATTTTTTCATTATTCTCTCCTTAGTAGACATGGAAATTAAGAAATAATATAATTAATAAGTAAGGTACTCATTAGCCTCCATTCAAGTTTTCTTTTTTAAATCTGTCTTTGAATTTCTCTATTTTGATTTATTTTTTATTTTTATCTTATTGTTGTACATTGTGACATTTACAAAAGTGCTTCCAGTGTATCTTAGTTAAATTCACCCCTCCATCATTCTCCTTTATCCTCCCTCTGTTCCTTCTTGAATGGTTTCAACAGGTCTCATTTTTCCATTTTCATACTCGAGTACATAAATTTCCACACAGTCACCCTCTATCCTTTCCTTAAATCCTCCTCTGTGCATTTCCCCCCTCCTCAATGTTTTCTTAGCAATTTATCTGAATCTTTACGTATTTGGGATTGTTTTATATTGTCTGCCTGTGTCTTATAATTCAAAGCCATATACCTGCTGGACAAAATGAATGAACTTTTCTTAATATCAATATACAAAACATGTAAAAGTTGGATGTGATCTAAGAAATAAAATCAGGCAGAAAGGAAAGAATAAGTTTCAATTTTAGCCCTGTTTATGGTCTTTGCTGTGACGTCAGGCAAATCATGTGAATTGCCATGTTCTCCCTGTGACAACATCTGTCCTTTCAAGGAACTTGGACTAAATATCCAGACACAGCCTATAGTCATAAAACAGAGCATGAAGTATTTTAGCAATTCTGTTGAGAAACTAACCTCCACCTGCCCATTACTCCTCCATAAAGGTAAGGTGGGTGGTAGTGAGGCTGGTTCGGACTTTAGCAATCTATGAACCCTATATAGCAAAGCACACTATGGAATACTGAATAACAAGTGTCTAGAGACTTAATGAATGGGAAGGGTGGGGAAAAAGCAGGGGAAGCAATGGAGAGCTTGGGACATCAAGGCAGTGCAGAGCTCCTGAGGGTTTCTGAAAGATTCTCCTGGCCTCCTGCCTATACCACTGCAGGGGTCCACTGGCATGTGATGTGACCCTTTGGGGCCCTTGGCAAGCTGTGCTCACCTCCATCTCCAGGGTCTGGCATTGTAACAGTTGTGCACAATACATGAATGATGCACCAAGCAGCCCTTCTCTGCTTCTCAGGGCTATGACCTGGGTGCCATTCACATCATGTGATGTGAGAGGTACTCCTTGGAGTTATGAAAACAGCAGCCCCAACTCCTATCAAGGAGGCTCAGGGGACTGGACGACTGCAGCTTTCTAGACAGACAATGAAAACCAGTGTGGGGACGGCAGTGGTGCAGAAGGGAAAATGGACAGCAATATAAGAGAGGCCTGGGAGACACCCTGAAGTGCCAGTGTTGATGCAAAATCTTGCTTGTCTTGTACCCTGTGTTCCTTTACTGTGATTCAGTAATGATCTCTCGCACCCAACTAGAAGGCTTGTCACGCATCGCTGGTTAAACACAAGTCACTGCTATTGTAAGCCTCCAAAAAACTGTATTGACCTAATTTTTCTACTTTAGGATCTAGTACTTTAATCAAAATCCAATAAGCTATAGCAATATTTTAAAGAATTGGATAAAGAAAACAAAGTTCCCAGGGAACTACCATTTTATAAAAGCATATCATATACTCAAGTGTAGAAGCATTGCCTTGAATCCTGTGTCAGAGAGATCCTTGCTAGAATCACACTGACCACCTTTATTTTGACAATTTGTTTCCCAAATGTGGGTTAGATAACATAGGAAACTGACATGGGAAGCATTCAGTTACTGAAGCAAATATCCAACTCTAATGGAACATTAGAAGAAATGTGTCTCCCATCAACAAACAAACTCCAGTGCATTTTGTCTCTACAGAAATGCACTGAAAACACACCACTCTTTTTGAAATTAGACAGCATATATTTGAATTAATAAATAAAATCTTTACAGTTTTAAAAATACCAGATGATTACTATTTTTAGAAACAAACCAAAATGAATTAAGGAGCAGAGTACAAATGTTGCTTGATATCTAATGCAAAAGTGTAAGTAGCTAGCTAAAGAATGAGAAAAGAAAAAAGAATAAAAGGAAAGACTTCTCGAGATCTGTGTTTAAATTTAAGTGTATTACCTTGGGCATTAAACATGCTGCCAGCTACCACTTAATGAGCACCTGAGCTATCATTTTAATGACAGCGTGACAATCATTATCTATACGTTGATATTTCCCTGAAAATCATCTGTACTGCAGTTAACATAGTTAAGAATGGAAACTGACTATACCATTTGTAAAAAATAGTATTATGTTGTGATGCTTGGCTTATACCATCAAAAATAACATACATATATAATTATAATTTAAAAGTCAACAAGTGCCCAGATGCACAGTCTCAATAAGCAGCCTCACTTCATACATAGTCTAAATAATGCATCTCATGGATTGTTTAAGAAGGTGATTTGGGGGCTAAGGGAATGTGTCAGTAGTACAGCACTTATCTAGCATGTATAAGACTTGACAGATGAATACCACAAAACTCAAATTATCTGACTCATTTAAGCACATGCACCATTAATGTATGATGCAAGTGATCGTATAATAGCCTATGGCAATACACCGTCACAGCATTCTGGAAATCTTATTTCCAAATACGAGTTTTATCTCTATTTTCAAATACTAGAAGTTAAAAAATACCTCTTCCACAAAGCTGTCTTTCTTCTCTAGCATTTCTCGTAAGGTCTGAAGAATTTTAATGCACAGTTTTTCTTCTTTCTCCATTAGTTTCTTTGTATGATTAATCAACCTTAAAACAAAACATTAAACCTTTAAAACAACAGAGATTTCTATTTAAGTTATTTACAAATATCATGTTAGAGAAAAAAAATCACATTTAAGAATATGAAGTAAACCAGATACACATACTCAAAAGTTTCAAAATTACATTTCAGCTCATAAAATTTCTATGATAAAACATCCTTAGTGCTTTACAGGTAGTACATCTCAGCGTTTCTCAGACTTGCTTGGCACATTGTTTTAGTGGAACATAACTCTCTTTGAGAAACAATGAAACACTGGTACTCTCAATCCCATCTATTTGGCTAGTAGAAAAAGATGAATATATTATGTCTTATTATGGTATGCTCTATGGTATTATGGTATGTTCTATGTACTGTGTTACATTAATTATATAGTAGCAGTGGAATCATGCAACACTGTAACCTTAGCATGTCAGGCCATTTTCCACTGTTCATTAATAATAATGAGCTATTTTTCCATATTAGGACTTAGTACAAACGGGGAGTTTCTGTGATTAGAAGCAAAAAGTAACCTCAAGACAATCTATCCTTTTGTAATAATTCAGACAAAAAAACTCTACTCATAGTTTTACAGTGGCTCTGTTAAGAGATTTTCAGCATCATAGTTACATACCATCCACAAGACTCAAAGTCAAGTGACATTTTCATGATCAGAATACATACCTTACCATGTATAGTTCATGTTGTTAAAATGACAGTCCTCAAATTACCCTGCAGGACATGTCTTCGCAGAGAAACAAAATGATAAAAATAAAAAGAAATGATCCAACTCTAGTTACATAGCATGGCTGCTGTGGAACATGACCCTGAGGAACAGCAGCTTTCCCTAGTCAATGCGTAGGAAGTGCTTATCAGGTGTCAAGGCCAAGTATAATAACTTCCCTAGGGTTCTCTCAATACAGCCTCACCACAAGCCATGAAATGGATTCTATAATCAGGCTAAATTCCCTAAAGAGACAACAGAAGCCCAGAGATAATACAACTTGCCACTGGCTACATAATTCCAGTGGTGGGACTTCGAAGTAGACAAAATTCGTCAAGAGCACTCTGTGGCAACATGGCCCAGATCACTGACCTCTTGAGTTTTGGGGTCGATGTACAGAGTTCCAACACACACCAGGCTGCATTTGCTGCAGTTGCCCAGCATGAAAAGTGCTACTCACAGAGGAACTGGCAAATGCTATAACCCAAAGAGATCATTTCATTCTGTTGTGAGGAACTGCTTAGGGCTGATTAGGAACTTTCAATGAAGAGAGATCAATCAATTATGAAAACTTCACCTGGAAGGGACAGACAGGGAGAGAAGCATCCCCACAAAGGGCACAGGCTGAAAGCTGGCCATCATGTCCAGGAAATAGTACATATACCAACCGCCAGCTTATATTTAAAGACCTAGAAGAGGAGAGACTAGGAGACATGGTTTGGAAAGAAGGGACTGGAAATTAATGATAAAGAGTCTCAAACATGAGCCTCACATGGGGGTGCAAGTCTGAATGCCTAGTAATTCAGAGGGTGAGGCAGGAGGATCGTGAGTTAGGGGTCAGTCTAGGCAACACAACATGACCCAGTCTCAAAAAAACCTACAAAAACAGCTTGATTGTATTCTAAAGAAAATAAAAAAAACAACTATACTCAAGGGCCTGAACTATTTCCTATGTTCAGGAAAGATGCCATGGATGAAAATGGGAAAGATGAAGAGGAGGGATGAGAACAAGGTGAGGGATGACCAGGGCACCTGTCAGTGCCCAGGCATAAGAGGTAACTCAGAAGCATCACAGCAGACCTGTACATTATGGAGGGAAGCGGAAGAGGGACCCTGTAGTGTTCAGACTGGGTTAACACATGGATGGTGATCCTATTAACCACTGCCTACTTCCCGCTGAAGGAGGGGCATGCAACGAAGAACCTGCGCTTCAGTCCAGCAGGCAGAAAGAGCTCTAAAGTTCCATTATTTGTTTTCCTTTGAATACAAGAAAATAATTTTTTGGACAGTGTAAATTTCTTTTGATTTTTCTTTTGTTTCAAAGCTAAGCATTTCCATCTTCTTTAACCCTTCCTTACAGAATATTTAATTCACTAACCATATTAAAAATATCAACCATAAGAATGTATGATCTCTTATGGGTTTATAAAAGGAATCTGTACATCACATGTTTGGTTGGTCAGGATCAATGATTTTTAAATATTTTTCTATGATCAAAATAACCCAGTTCACATGTGAAGCTATGTACAAGCTGACACAGTTTTCTCTTACTATATGAAATGTACCCTGATATTTTATATTTTTTCTAATTCATGTTTTTAAATTAACAGGTTGTCTCCACTGCAGTTAATTTAAAAGTACAAATGAATCACATCCTACAGTTGGAAAAACACTGAGCTTCTACTTTTTAAGAGAGGAGTAGTTGCTGACTTGCATGGACCAAAATCACCCGATGAACACCCCATTAATTTCTTCTTCTCTCACTCTGAGGAAGCAGAATCCATTGCTTTCCTGAGGTCTACCTTTCACATATTCCACAGACTCACCTAAGTCAACAGGTTCCAAGAATTAGATTCACTTGAGAAAGTAGGAAAGCCAACATAGGCCTTGGCTCAAACTTTGCAATCTCCAACTAATCTTTTCCAGAGTACTATACACAGCAACACAAGATCCCTCAAACAGCTATGAATAAAATTGGCTTCTAATTTTGTTAGTCTTACAAATGAAACTTTTGGTTCTCTTCACAGAGTAGGAAGAGAGGATAGGAGAAGCAGAAAACAGACATTCTTGAGTCCCTAGACATAACACAGCTATAATACCACAACACTCTTCCCTAACCACTAGAGCAAATATGGCAACTTTCCTCCATCGAATGTAGGACTTGTAGTATGTTCCCATAATCCTATCACTTCCGGACCAGCCTTGACACATAGTTCTTGGCAAGAAGTTTCCTTTAAAGGGTGAGACAGAAATGTCTCAGGTTTTAGGGGCCATAGAGTCCTGTGGCTATGAATTGACCTTGCATGAAAGCATACAATACATAAATGAATGTGTGGTTGTATTTCAATAAAACTTTCACTAATGATTGTACAGTCCAGAACTGATGGACTCAGTCACCACAGTCAACAGAGACTTCCAGCCCTCTTTCAGCAATACCCTCAACCCCACAGGAATTGGCTGGCTGGATACTGGTCAGGTGTTTCGTAGCCTCATTCTACTTCCTCTATCTATTGTCCTGTGACCGAGTGCCTTCCATAGAAAGGCTGCCAGTTCTTTCTGGAGTTAGTTACACTTTTCCTCCTAATTGCTTATACCTGCGACTCTTCCTTGAGAATTTGTCACTTATTAAGTATATGTTAGCTATGATAGATCTGAAAATACCACAAATGCTGAGAAAAATGAGTAAATGAAGAGCAGTAGACAAGGTGGAAGATTGTGAAGGTGGCATGTCCACCAACTGAGCCTGAGACTTAATAGCTCTTTACCTGAATGTGGTCTGAGCCTCTCCTCAGCAGGTGTGACCTCCCAATCCCTCAGGGTGTTTATGCAGATTAGATAAAGTAACAGGTAAACACAGAGGACAATCACACCGCAGTAGACCTCAATAAATGTTAGCTCTCTTCCCGTTCTACATTAATGAAAATCAGTGACTTTAAACATGGATCTTTTAAAGGTCACATATATAGCTATAGAAATGAATTACAATTAGAATATTGTTCTGCACCCAACAATGACCCACTTCATTTTCAATAAATTTTAGTAAAATAGGATAACTTGACCTTCACCAAAATAAGATTTCAAATGACTCAATTATTTGGGAAGAATATTTTGACATGGATTCAGGCCGTTCACATACTTTGTGGACTGTGGGTAAATATCATGGAGTAGAGGCAGCAATGCTGCAGACTGACTTGGCTTGACAACACTAGCAGAATCTGGATGGACCACTTACTTGGACATGAAAGCACCACATCTTATTCTCGCGTCGCTTCCCTCGGGGAACAGCAGTTCCGGACTGTACAATACATCAACCAGCACTGAGAACTCAGCTTGCATCATCGGGCTGAACTGCTGCTCCAAAGAGGCCACGACATCCTAAGACAGCAAGCACAAGAGAACCCATGTGAAGACTTGATCAGATCTCATCTTTTGAAGATGTGACAAACCCAGGAATACTAACTAGAGATGAGACATGGGAATTTCAGAGAAGATGGAGCTTGTCTTCCCAGGGCACCAAATGTCTACTTTAACATAGTCTGTTTTATGTATAATACTGCCTGGGGCTCTGGACTTGTTCACTTAAAAGATAAAAGGAGGGTGGATAACCATAAAATTTCAAAGGAGATAGATAGATGATTAATAGATAGACAGATAGATAGATAGATATGTGATTGATAGACAGACAGATGGATGGATGACAGAGGTAGATATATATGAGGAAACTGAGTAAACATATGGTACAGACCTTGTAGTACCTAGGGCTGTGATGGAAACACGACAAATTGGAGTAAACTGGAAAAGTATGTGGCAAACAGCTAAAAACATTTCACATGTGCCATGGCTCACCCAGAACCAACCATTTCTCAAGTTGGAAAATTCATTGATATGTTATTTGAAGCACATTGGTAATATACAGGGCTTCAATGAGATTCAATAGTGTCTCAAATTCTATTTATTCACAGACCTTCTTGGTCACTTCCCAACAACCTCTTTTCACACCCTTCTTCACTAAAAGGATCCCAATATTGTTCTGAAGCAGATAGCAACACTCCTTGGGGAGATGAGCCCCTTAAGCTTAGAGTCAAGGTTGGCTACGTTAAGCCAGTCATGGTCACTCCATTACCCCTCTTGGCATGATTTCATGATACAACCAACAAATGAAATACCAGGTGAAGTCTGCTGAGTGCATGGAGGGCCAGGGAGGTTCTCTCAAAACCACATACTGTTCCCATTGCAGCTTGATGACTCAAGGCAGCCCTCGTGTGATTGTGGGAAACAGACATTGGCTTTATGGCTCTCTCCTATCAAGCTGCTCAACTGGCCAACTCAGTAACACTCATGCGCCAGGATTTTGAACATGAAACAGTCCATTCCTAATTGTTTAAGTCACCTTTAGCTGAAATTTGTGACATTAAACCTGGAAGTACCCTACGTGATCATTTCTAAAACAACCTATGAACAATGATAATTTCCTGAGCATTCCCCTTTTCACTTTTAAACAGTGTGAGGAGAGAAAAAAAAAGTCTCATATTAAGCAACAACTTACAGCCACACCTTGTTTGTGGAGCAGGAATTTGCTCTCAACTACAGAAGCGAAGATGGGGATCTCACTCTCTTGGTTTCTATGGCCACATTTCAGGAGCTGACTTGTCACTGACATCTCTTTCTCCTTCAGCAGAAGTGAGCATTTCTACTTTTCCTACTCTTAAAATAAGTCTCCTAGGAAATTTCTGAAAACAGTTAAAGGAGACTCACAGGAAGGAAATAAAGGGGGAACTGCTTATTACATAAAGGAGGGAATGCATTTAGTGAAATATCACTGAAATTGACTTTTAGCTTATTTCTTCATTTCATTCACTAAACAAATGATACTCCAGATGCTATGATGGAAATTCTGTCTTAACCTCTTCTCTTAATCTAGGTCCAACTATGTGATCTCTGTAAGTCTTGGCCGCCCCATGTGAATTTGGGACAATGACATTAGCAATCACATGATCTTGCTGTGAGGATTACTATCAAGTGCTTAGATCACGGCACCCATGAGCCGTGATCAATGCCCTGCCACCCCATCAGTCCTCATCTTACTGACCCACTGCTAAATATTTTACAGAATGGTTCCTGCTCTGACTGACCTATGCGCCTGGCTTCTGTGACACCACACTTTCTTTGCATCTGGGTCCTGGCCACTACTTTGTCAATCCCTCATAGCTCCTGGTCCTTTTCTCCTCTACATCTTTACTTTCTTTAAAGAATCCCATGAAATTCTGTGGTTTTAATGTCATACACATGCTGAAACATCCTACATATATGCTTCCAGTGTGGGTACCTCCACACCAGTCTAGATTCAGTCATCCAACTATCAGTTGGCACAGTCACCCAGGGTTTCTAACTGTGTCCGGTTTCAGACTTAAAACTCCTCAAACAGACCTAATTCCAATCTCTCCCAATCTTTTTCTCCTATTATTTTCTGTCTTAGTAAATGATGCAATCATATCAAACCCAGAATTATATTTGACTTTTCTTTCCATCACCCCAAAACTCATCCATAACACCTACCAAACCACATCCTGTTGGCCCTACAATCAAATGTATGCAAAATTCATCCACTTCTCCTCATTACTATTGTTACCCTCTTATGCAGAGTCATTATCACCTTTTTGAACTCAGGGTCTACACCTTGAGCCACTCCCCCAGCCTTTTTTGTGAAGGATTTTTTTCAAGATAAGGTCTTGCGAACTATTTGCATGGGCTGGCTTTGAACTGCAATCATCCTGATCTCTGCCTCCTGAGTAGCTAGGATTACTGGTGGCGTGAGCCACCACTGCCTGGCATCTTTTGTTTGAATTAATGCAGTGCTACATAACTAGCTCTCTGCCTCCAAGTCTGGACACTATAAGACACTCAAAATCCACAGTGATTTCTTCCAAGATAAGCCAAGTTACATATTCTAACAAAAATCTCCACTGGTCTGCCATCATATTTAGGATAAAATCCAAGTGCTTTACTTTAAGTGTTAGTTCATTCAGGTCGACATAACACAATACCACACACTGGGTAGCTTATAAACAAAAGACATTATTTTTCATAGTTTGGGAGCTAAGAATTTCAAGATCAAGGAACCAGCAGACTTTGTGTTTTGTGAAGCCCTACTTCACTGTTCAGAATGTCCAGTACTCCCACATGGAAGAAGGGACAAATGAGCTCTCTTGGATGGGTTTTGTAAGAGCACTAATCTCACTCACGAGGGCTCCACCCTTATGACCTGTTCACCTCCCAGAATTCACATGGTGAAGTCCTATGTTGATTCCCTATGAGCCAATATGACACAGATGCATGCATGCAAAGAGGAAAGACACAGTGAAGTCAAGAAGAGAGGTTTCAGAAGAAACCAGGCCCAATTTAGACTTCCAGCCTCCAGAACTATGAGAAAATAAAAATCTGTTGCTTAAGCTGCCCTGTCATGGTATTTTGTTATGAAAGCCATAAGTAAACTAACACAATGTCTCATTTACTCAATGTCCTCAAATATCCAGGCCAAAACCACGACTGAGATGCTATGCAAGCAATCTCTGAATAAAGGTGATTGCAGCATTCTGACCAAAGGGCTATGCGAGAATACTGAGAGATAAATTGAGGCAAGATTATGAATATTTCCTTTATTACACAGATCTCTATAATAAATTATTTTACTCAGTTTATTTATTTATTTGGGGAGGTTGAATTCAGGGCTTCACACTAGCTGAGTATCACTTGAGTCACTCTGCCAACTGTTTTACTTACTTATTAGTGGTGTTATGATTGTTATTTTAATACTAAGACCCACCACTCACTAATGTACTTCCAGAACACATTAAATTAACATAATAAACTCATTAAAAAGAACTCACAGGAACTCTTACCTGCATACTATGCATTTTAGAAGGTTGGTGGTAGTAGAGAGTTATAAGGGAAAGCCTGTACCCAAATGAGAATTTTCTATTTTCAAGCATATTTTATTTGTGTAACACATACTTTATTTTATTTTTTTGGTAGTACTAGAGTTTGAACTCAGGGCTCACATTTGCTTGGGTAGGTGCTCTACCACTTGAGTCATGCCCCCAGCCCCAATATGTATTTAGACTGCAGTTTGGAAAGCGTAATGTCATTTCATGGTCTCACTGTACCTGTAACTTTTCAATAATATTTCTATAATCCCAAGCAGGCCCTCCAAGAGCTTCCTTAAATCGAGGTCCAGAGCGAGCCGAGAGTCTCCAACCCATGGCAGCCCTCTGCACCATATTCGAATGGCTCTTCATGAAAAGGGTATTGACTTGGCTATCCAAATCCACTGGAATGGCAATTCCACGATTTTTTGCTGAAAAAGAAAGATTTAAAGTATTTGTCTTTCAATTTGACTAAATCTTCTCAGATATACTATTCAACACTCTTAGCACAGAATAAATGCTAAAAATCAAATCTTTAAGCTCTGCCATACAGTTGTTTCATGTAACTTCAACAACTTTGAACCTGAAAGCATTTCAGCTCTTCAGACCAAGTAGTAAAGTGGGTCCATTCAGTGTTCAAGAACTTTTTTGACTTCTTGGTGATTAATGTTTGACATGTATGTCATACAGCATCAATACAGGAAAACTCTGTAACAAGCAAGCAAATTTTTTCTTTTCCAGATGCCAAAGAAAATAAGAAAGCGGACAGAAAACACACGGTAAATCCTGCCAATCCATTCATTACTTTAATTAGAGTGTATGTTCACAGCCATGCACACACAAAATTGCATGTGATAAAACATCTGAGATCAGAAAATAAAAAGTTGAAGAGTATAAAAAACATGCCTTAGAAAAGCCCACACGATGTATGTCTTTTTTTTTTCATAAAATCCACTGAAATTTATATTTTAACAGGCCTACATCACAATAACACTGAAAAAGGAGAATGTTTGCCACAAAGAAAATAGAAACGTTGAGGCATTTCTACAAGACAGAATGAAGATATGATTATTCCATCAGAGAAGGAAGAGATGGAATTGTCCCATGGGAGAACAGATTTAGGACAGGTCTTCCTGGGGGCACAACCAATGGATATGAGATGTGGCAAGGAATCAGCTGGAAGAAGCACTGAATAACGGGTACATAAGGCCCTCCTCACTCTGACTAGCATCAACAGAGTTGGCAGCAGCAGGTTTTATCCAGAGGATAAAGATAGAGAAATGCAGAAATGTTCTCTCAAGAAAGTAGAGAACCTGCCTATAGAGAATGCCAAATGAAGGTGTTAGGACTTGACAAAGAAGCAGAACAGAGCTTGATGTAATGCCAAGATCATCAGATAAAGGGCACACAGAGGAAGAGAAGAGGCAGTTCCATCAGAGAGAGAAAATATACTGGACTCCAACCACTGAGCAAAGCCCCTAATTTTAATATTGCTGGTAATCCCATCCTGTATGCTGCTTCTCTCTCTCCCTCACCCTCTCCCCCTACCCCTTCCCCTTCTTTCTCGGTAAGTCTGCATGTCATTTGCTCAAGCCCTCCCACAGAACTTAGGTCAGTCCTGAATAGATTGTAGGGGAAAAAGAGGCCCTCTAAACTGCAGTAGAAACACACCAGCCTCCTGTACCAGTCACTGAAGCCATCCACAATTATGAATACACTTGGTGGGATCACAAGGAAAACCAACAGAATTAAGAATAACCAACTCCAGTAAAAGCAGAGCTGATTCCTAAAGAGCAAAAATATTTAAATAATTCTAATTATTATCCTTACAGAATTTGAGTATGTACTGCATCCAAAACATTAGGAAATCAGAAATAAAGAAAGACATTTTGGAAATTAAAATATTACTGCACAAATAAACATTTAAAAAATTAGCTAAAAAAGAAAAGGATAGCAACAAATTGGTAATCCGGAAAAGGAAGTCAAGGAATATTCTAGAATATAAAGCATAAAAGAACAAAAGTGAAAGTAAATCAGAGAGATTATGAAACAGGGAAGCTCAATCCAGGAAATTTATAACAAACCTAAGTTCCAGAAAGAAACAACGTGGATGTGAGGGCGATCTGGCTATGACATCTGTCACCCCATCGATTGCCAGGGTTGATTCGGCTGATCTGGCTGGCTAGGCGGGTGTCCCCTTCCTCCCTCACAACTCTATGTGTGTCCCTCCCAAAGCTGTGCACTCTCGGTCGAAGAGGGCGACCATCCCTGATAGAGGAGGACCGTTCTTTGGTCAAGGGTACATGAGTAGCTGTGCTCCCCTGCTAGAACCTCTAAACGAGCTCTCAAGAAACAACATAAACAATGGATGGGAAAAAATGATGAAGACAGTGTTCAAATGGAAATGTCCCTCTGTGTGTTAAGAATGACTAAATAAGCATGATGGTCAAATTCTGATGAAACTTTCAAATGCTGGCAATGATTGAAGTATAACCCCCAAAAGTATTCCCAGAAGTCCTTAAAAGCAATACCTTTGAATGTGACCTTACTTGGAAACAAGGTCTTCATAGATACAATCGGGCTGAGTTAAGATAGCTTTGCCTTAATACAATTTTTCCTCTTCTAGAAAGAGGAAAAGAGACACACAGACACATCCAATGGGAAGAGGAGCATATGAAGCTGAAGACAAAGGCTGAGTGGATGCAGCTGCAAGCCAAGGGTTGCAAATGATTGTCAGCACCAGAAACAGAGAGGTATACAACAGAGTCTTCTGTGGGCCTCCAAGCAAGCATGGTGCTGCCAACACCTAGCCTCAGACCTCTGGTGCCCAGAAACATGGAAATGTAAACTTCTGGATTTAAGTTGTTATGGCTGGTACAGAAACTCATACAAATGTCAAGAGCTAAGAGAAAATCTCAAGAACTTCCAGAGAGAAAAGAAGATTCCTAAAAAGCATGATTGCCACTCCCTATCAGCAGCACACAGTGCTAGAAGACAGTGGCATGTCTTTGAAGAGTAGACAGATGAAAAGTTTTGAAAACAGTAATATATATCCATCTAAACTAAAACTCAAATGTGATACCCCAATAAAAACATTCCAGCACATACAAAGAATGAAAGTTTTTTTCCTCCAATCTCCTACGAAAAAATTACAGCAAGAAATAAGAAAGGAATCCAAGACAAACACATCAACATGAATATAAGAAACAAGGCAAGAACCTGGAAAATGAAGCTAGAAAGGAAAAGAAGATTCATAGCTATTAATGGTTAGGAAAGTCTCTTTCAGTGAAAAAGTTTTAATATCATGGTATTACATTTTTTTGTCTCAAGTGGTTATACAGTAAAAAAAATTTATACATAATTTGTAAGTTCTAATAATTGATTTGCAATGTTTATCAACCTATAAGATTTAATGATCGTTCAAAACAGAATAAAAATATCAAAAATCGTAACAATGGAAGGCCAATGATACAGAGAGTAATAAAACACAGTGATAGGAACGAGGGAAGAGAGAAGGAAAAATGTTATTCTCCTTCTATTTCAGTGTGAAGCACATTTTCTGTATTAACTAGCCTTTCTCATTGTGGTGACAAAATACCTGACATAAACAACTTAAAATGAGAAAAGATGTATTTTAGCTCATGGTTTCAGAGATTTCAATCCATACTTCTTGATTCCACTGATTCCTTTCCTGTGATGAAAGAACATTATGGTGGCAAAAGCATGTAGAGGAGCTGATCACCTCGTGGCAGAAAGGAAGCACAGAGCAAAAATGAGGCACTACCCCAGTGACCAATTCATCCAACTAGGCCCCATCTCCTCAAGTTTCCACCTCCTCCCAAAATAGTGCCACTAGCTGGGGACAAAGCCTTCAACACAGGAGCTTGTAACATCAACTCATTCAAACCATAGCACATGTAGACATTATTTAGACATTATTATCAAGAAAACAGAGCTACTGAATCATATTTAAAGTTATTTAAGAGTCACTTTATTTTAAATGAATGAAGATAAGAAGAAAGGAATATAAAGAAACCATACAGAGAGAGAGAGAGAGAGAGAGAGAGAGATGGACAGACAGGAAGACTGACTGACAATTTGGCTTGCTTCATATAAAGGAAAAAAAGCAACAACAGCAGACAGTACTTTCTGCTGGTGGAAATTCTCCAAAGCTGAAAGATACTTAAAAAACTCCTTTGAAAATAAGCAACCTTTGCTAACAAAAACAACAACAAAACACAAAATTAAAAAACCAAACAGATACTAATTTAAATACACTCTTGAGCTGAAGCCTTAAGAAGGAGTGACAACTCTAAGACAATCTACAATGCTCACACTTCCCTAGTGAATGCTGTCTAGTATTCAGGATAAATTCCCTGATCCAAAGCCCTCGGGGTTTCTGTCCATGTCCTTTTCACACAGTGGTGCAAGTGTACCTCTGTCCCACGTGAAGGTCAGACGGCCTCCACACAGCTGAGGGACACATAGTGTTAATAAATACTGAATGCCACACCATGGCCAAACCCTGGCTACTTGGTGCCCTTCTCTGGCTGCTTTACACATAAGCTGTGTTAGCTCTGAACATCTGAAAAATCAAACAGAAGACACCAGGAGCGTAGTGCTCCTCAAAACGATCACAACCAAGTCATCACTGACACTTAACAAATGGATTCATCTCTCCTTCAGGAATCAGATATGTTAGATGCAAGATCCTAGACTCCGTCAAGGGAGTCTGCTTGTATAGGAGGTGCCAGAACATACTTTTCTAGCCACACTGTGAAGGTTCAGTTTAACTCTTGTGCCTCCGTTATTAACAACGTGGCCCTTTTATTACTGAGTGCAGGAAAATCTCAACCACCCTCCAGGTTCCCCTGTAAATCAATACACCTACACATTCCCCTGTGGACAGCACAATGGACAAGACACACTGGGCAGACTCTGCCATCCTAAACTCTGATAAAGGTTTCTGTTTCCTCAAACAGGGTCATCATCTAGTCTCCTGTACTCACATACATGGCACAGTATAAATTAGCCAGGTAAAACATACCACTATCCCATCCCTCAAGGTAAACTCGAGATGATGGATAAATCACAATACCTAGGAAATAAAAGAAAATGAACTATGCAATTGATGAAGATTATTTGATTACATAAAGTCAACTGTACAGATAATAAAGTCTTATCAAGCAATTATAAAAACATGACGATCTCTAAAGGTATGATCTGAAAAAGATTCCGTGCACTGCCAAAACAGTATGTCTGTCAAAACTGACAATTCTAATTTAGCTTTCTATATATTGTTTTGAAATTAAAGAAAACATTTAAGCAGAAACGAACACTGCAATTAGGAGAAGAATTAGCTTATCTCACTTATAAGAACATTAACTACTGGAACAATATTCTTCAAATACAACCCGAAATATGATTGAAA